ATGATCCTGTCAATAGATGCAGAAAAAGCATTTGACAAAATATAGCATCTTTTCTTAATAAAAACCCTGAGAAAGTCGGGATAGAAGGAACATACTTAAACATCATAAAAGCCATTTATGGAAAACCCACAGCTAACATCATCCTCAATGGGGAAAAACTGAGAGCCTTCCCCCTGAGATCAAGAACATGACAGGGATGTCCACTCTCACCGCTGTTGTTTAACATAGTGTTGGAAGTGATAGCATCAGCAATCAGACAACAAAGGGAAATCAAAGGCATCAAAATTCGCAATGATGAAGTCAAGCTTTCGCTTTTTGTAGATGACATGATATTATACATGGAAAACCAGACAGACTCCACCAAAGGTGTGCTAGATGTGATACATGAATTCAGCAAAGTCGCAAGATACAAAATCAATGTACAGAAATCATTTGCATTCTTCTACACTAATAATGAAGCAACAGAAAGACAAATAAAGAAACTGATCCCATTCGCAATTGCACCAAGAAGCATAAAATACCTAGGAATAAACCTAACCAAAGATGTAAAAGATCTATAGGCTGAAAACTATAGAAGGCTTATGAAGGAAATTGAAGAAGCTACAAAGAAGTGGAAAAATATTCCGTGCTCATGGATTGGAAGAATAAATATTGTTAAAATGTCAATACTACCCAAAGCTATCTACACATTCAATGAAATCCCAATCAAAATTGCAGCAGCATTCTTCTCAAAGCTAGAACAAGCAATCCTAAAATTTGTATGGAACTACCAAAGACCCCAAATAGACAAAGTAATTTTGAAGAAGAAGACCAAAGCAGGAAGCATCACAATCCCAGACTGTAGCCTCTACTACAAAGCTGCAGTCATCAAGGCAACATGGTATTGGCACAAAAACAGACACATACACCAATGGAATAGAACAAAAACCCCAGAATTAGACCCGCAAAAATATAGCCAAATAATCTTTGACAAAGCAAGAAAGAATACCCAATGGAAAAAAGTCTCTTTAACAAAGGGTACTGGTGAACTAGACAGCAACATGCAGAAGAATGAAACTAGACCACTTTCTTACACCATTCACAAAAATAAACTCAAA